TATTATTATTATTATTATTATTATTATTATTGTTACTATTGTTACTTTCTTCTAACTGTCACTATGTTTTGAATTGACTTGTCAAGAAAAATTTCAATTTTTTTTCATCTTTAAAAAGTTTTTCCTTCACTTTTGTGTGTGTGTATGTGTGTGTGTTTTGTCGTGTAGTTTCTTCATAACGTTACCTTTTGCCCTTCTTTTTTGCTTATTTTTAGAATTATTACCTTTATCATCTTTTTTTGCTTTCTGATGTATATTTGACTATGATTTTTATAAGTAAAACTTTTAGGATCTAATATGGATTTGCCTTTAAGTGCGCATTTGTATATGTATCATATGTACGATTTGAAGTAGCTGAAAAAACTACTCATCCTTTCTTCTCAGTGATGATATTGCGACTAAATAATACTTTTCAATTGCTTTTATCAGCTGAATATTAAAGAGCAAAAAATAGCAACACTTTTTGATATTGCTAACAGAAAAAACTCAAGCAAAAAAAAAAAAAAAAAACGTTGAAATCTTTTTTTAAGTCATTTTTTGTTCTTAATTTTTTTGCATAAGTTTTACTGCAAGAACTTTTTTAAGGTTTCTTTCTTTTATTTCTTGGAGCAAGAAATTTTTTGAATTTCTCTACTGCGTGTTTGCTGTTCTGTTTACTTTTACTTTTAACCTTCAAAAGAGTTTTTTTTGAAATGATCACATCCTTGTGAGGGGAAGGAATTTTTTATTCAACTCGTCTGCATATTTCCGAAATGTTGCATTTTTTTGTTGTATTCTTCTTTCTGGGATTGATTCTCATATGGTGCATATTAGTGTGTGCTTGATGATTTGCTTACTCGCTCCGTTGTATGTACATAAAGCGTTTAGTGATTATCGGTTGTGATTGTTAACATATTTGTCGTTTGACGGCAAAGAAAGAAGAAAAAGCAAAGGAAGATTCTGTCACTGGCAGTGCTGTTTTGAAGTCAAAGTTGTAGAAGCAGTAAAGAAACAGGTAACAAGTTTCCGACAAGCAGTCGTTTAGGAACTGTTTGGTACCGTAATTATATTAGAAGTCGATTAAGCAAAAAGTCGACGAAATGCCTTTTAATTGGTGGACTACATTTTAAGGGATGCTCATGTAAATCTGCCGATTAAGGATTCCTTGAAACAACTGATTCCATTATCGATTGTTTGTTGTGCTCAAAGAAAAGCTGTTAAAAGGGCGACAGAGGCAGCAAGCAAGAGAAAAGTTGGATCTGGTGATAGCAACCCAGTGCTTTCATGACTTTATGGCTTTTTAAAGCTGAATCTATCTTCAAATACTGTTTGTTGAGCTGCAATTAAGTTTTTGTATCTGATGGGCATGTTTGGTGGTATTTGATAGTTTGCTTTAAAAAAGAAAGAAAACCTAAACAGCAAAGTGATCGCTGGTAGATGACTGCTGTCTTAATTTTCCATGGTTTTTCACTTCCCAACTATATGCACGGTTAAGGCCGATAAAAGGGGAAGAAAGCCTTACAGAAAAGCTATACTTGTTGGGAGAAAAGAAAGGAACTGGTGAGGTGCGAAAAACGTTCACCTTTTATGTTCACAAATTGATTAATTCAAAGGAAATACGTAATTGAACCGGTAATGCGATAAATAAAGCTTGTTTTTGAAGCTGAGGAGGCTTTCCTGGTGCTCATGGCAACAACCTTCTAGTTTAAACAGATTTCAAGCAGATATACGACATTTTCAATTTTATATATATTCTCTATAGACCATTTTTAATTACTAATTGCCTTATAAGGTTCTCGCAAAATGCAACATAGAATTTTGCTTTCACTTTACATCGTACACAAATCCTTTTTTATTGCACCTTTTTTGTTTTGCTCAATTTTTGCGCTGAATGTATATTATATTATTAATTTTTATCCTCAAATAGCAATTTTTTAGCCGGATACAGAGTGGTTCACCTTTTTTTTTCTTCTCAAACACTAGTTGCTGAATGCTGATGCTGAAGATTCTTTTTCAGCTTATAAACTGCTGAGTTCCTGTGTTTGTTTGGATCGTCACGTATGTGATCAGTACGTTTATTTTGAAGTAGATTTAGAGATTCTTGCAAATAGGATTTCTATCTTTTTTAGAACCTATTTAGCTATGTTAAAATGACGGTGATAGAAGAGCTGTTTTTTGCTAACTAGTTTTTTCACATTACTTTCCAAAAAACAAATATGCTGTTTCTAACAAAAGGTAAATTTCTTCCGGCTATAACTTCTTTGATTTAGTCAGTGATGAAGGTTTACAGTGTTCCCACTAGTGTTTTCTCTTCTTGGTTTCTAGTAAGTTAGCTTAGAAATGCAGTTGCAAACACTAGTATAAGATGACATTACTACTGTAAAAATACTTTATTCTTTGTTTTTTTTTTTACACATTGCTTCTAACAAGACTTTGGTAAATTCTTTTTTGTTTTGAAAAAATTAAGATTTTGTTTAAAATTTAGATTATAATTGATAAAGTGATAGAGGATGGAAAAAAGGCAACTGTTAACCTTATATTATTCTGTGATCTACTGTATAAAAACAAAAAAATCTTTTTTTTTTTTTGTTGGCTGATCATCTGATAAACGGCTATTTTAGTCGGACGTGAAATAGAATGGCAATTCACTGTGCTATGAAATGTAATTACTTGAGTGCAATTATTCGCTAAATGATGGAGGAGGTAAACTAAATTGCTACTTGGTTTTCAGATTTGAAGTTCTTAGCTATATGGCATAAAATCGACATTGTTGAGTACAACAAGTTAAAAGCAACTCCTAATTATAGTTATTTTAAAAAAAATTTATGTAAGTTGAAATTTAGTGAAGACATTGCTAACACACCTATACTTCCTTTTCTTTTTGCCGCTTACGGTTAACTCTTAAATCTTAAATTTGTCGGCTGCA